TATCATCGGCTCCATCCGAATGTTCATTTCTACCTTCCGCGTCGTCCTTCATCACTAAACTCACGTAAATCGATGTCACTTGCGTTTTGTTCAACTCAAACGGATAATTCACTTCAATATCAGATGTAACCTTTAAAGATGGAATTGAATATGGCGAATTCTCTCTGAATTGATATCTCAGTACTATATTGTATCGAGATGAATCGACGTTCAGCTTATTCTGTATATCATGGTACAACTCCTCATACGATGTAGTCTCTATTATTTGTGTTGCCATACTACCTTTTATATAGTTCGTCCATTTCCATTCCCATCGATTATTTTCATCCAATTCAAAATCACCAAAATGACAAATCAGGAGTATCATCATATCTGTCAGGCATAGAAACAAAGAATTTATAAACGGAATATTCAAAAAAATTTGACTTCCAGTCCAAACAAAAATNGAATTTATAAACGGAATATTCAAAAATTCGATTTACAGTGAGAACAAAAATTATTAAAAATAAAACGACAGAAAAATCGACGTTAACAGCCGAATCTTCAGCTGTTAACAGCCGTAGACAGTCGTCGACCATTCGTCGAAATTTTCGGCTGTTAACAGCCGAATTGTCGTCTGTTAACAAAATCGGCTGTTAACAGCCTTCACAGCCGACAATTTAACGTCGATTTTTCTGCCATTTACAGCCGAAATTTGTAAATAGTCGTAATCGAAAAATTAATGCAGATGAATTTTTTTCTTTCATGCTGAAAAAAATTATACATCTGTGAAACTGTTCCGCCACTGACACAACATTCCTGCCGCCAACACCATCGGCCAAATTAACAAACCTCACACATCATTGGAATGTCCTCATTCTTCTCTACACATTCCACCCAACCACGATCCTAAACCCTACTAGATATCGTCAGAATAACCACCTAAAACTTCCAACTCGCAAACTAAAAAACTGCAAACAACTCCTCCTCCAATTACACCCACCATCGCAGACTATCATAAGTTGACTATCATAATCTAAGTGTCCAATCTGATGATGGTATTTCAACAAATATGGGACAAATGCACTTTTATATATCTCATCGTCTTCTTCACTTTAGATCATCATTTTTTTGTGAAATTGATGTCTATTTTCATGAGTTTCTGTAGTATCGGTGCCTGGTGGTGAGATGGGGAAATGTAATTATGGTGGGGTGAATAGGTGTCGAGATGGTGGTCAGGTAATGACGATTTTTTGATGGTTTTGGTGCGTGGATTCTATGGTGGTGGAGCTAAGGTTTAGATGTGGTATTTGATGGTGGTTGTGGTGATGGAGGGGATGGAAGGTTGTGCCAGGTACGGGAAGGTGTGTAGATGGTGGTGACGATCGGTGGTGATGCTAATAGTTTATTTTTTTTCCCCTTCTTTCTCTTTTTTAGTTTATTTTGTTTTATTCTATTTCTTGTTTTTAAATTATTTTATTTTATGTATAAAATAACAAAGTTATCATTTTACCAATTTCAATATAGTCAAAATTCACTTTTGTTGGTCAACTCACGGTTCCATTCATTTGGACCCCAATTGCATATTTTTGAAAGGCTTGAGACTTTTATTGGCACAAATTGAAGATTATGATAAACTCTACAAAAATTTAAAAGGTTAAGGACTGCTGCTGCATTTTTTCTATTAAAAGGGTGTTTGGTAGGGATTAAAATTATATTTTTAATGTATTAAGATATAAGTTTTTGAAATGTGTGGTTGAAAATATGTGGGACTTATGAAAGATGTGGTTAATATTGATTATTTGATTTTAACTTAAATTAAAATCATATTTTAATCCGTCCCAAACAAGTCCTAAATATATGTAATATTAAAAGAAGGGAAAATTACAGCTGCGGTATCAAATCTTTCATTTTTTGTAGACATTGCCCAAACCTTTGATTTGTACCACAGTAGGTACCAAACCTTCAAAAAAATCGCAACCCAAGTTCAGATTGACGATTTCCGTTAGTTTGACCCAAAAAACCGTTAGTTGACCTCAAAAATTAAAATTTTAATAATTTTGACCAAATAAGACGAGGGTAAAATGGTAATTTTATAATTTTAAAAAAATAAACAAAATAAAATCCGTCTCCTTCAATATTCCCCAATCCCCTAACCCAAAAATCAAATACACTCCCAACAAGTTGCCGGCCGACCACCGCCTTATCGTCGGCACCGACTGACCACGTCAATCCTTCCTTCTTTGTAGCCTAAGAAACCAGCATGAGAAGATAGCCAGCTTGATGAGCATCATACGTTCACATTCAAATTCAAACTTCAAACGATAAATCTCAAAATCCTCAATTCGCTACCTTCGGACACACCCCAGGAAAAATGTTCCGCAATTCTCTTTCAGAAAGTTCACCAAAGAAAACCCCAAATCACAAAAAAAATGGAATCAAGAAAATGAAACAAATTTAACTTCATATCCTCCTTCGCCATTACCAAATCCTCTGTCAACTTCAGTCTTTAAGGACTTGTCGAATTTCAAAACCCCAAATCAGGCCTCACGAACCCTTATTTCTAGTCTAGTTCGTATTCTCAGCAACCTAAGTTCTTCACTGCCTCAAAAAACACCCCCATCTGCCATTCACGATGCGGCTTGAAAACCTCATCTTTGAAATCGAAGACGACACAGAGATTGAAGGCATTTGAGCTTGAGCACTCTAAGTAGGCGAGAAAGGTCCAAATCGAAAAGGAAAAATCACTTCAATCACTTGCAATAGGCAGAACTTGTTGTGGGTGGAGGTGAAGGGAAGGGATGAGATGATTGACTTAGCCCAACCTCAGGGATTCGGTTAGAGATCTGGTCACCGAGCTCGACAACCTTCTCGGGGGCTTCTATTTTTTTTTTTTTTTTTGGGTTGGCCAGGGGGGGTTGTCTTTTGTTTTTAAATTTTTTGAAATAATAGGGAAATGTATTATGACTATTTGACACCTGTCTTATTTGGTCAAAATTATTAAAATTTTAATTTTTGAGGTCAACTGACGATTTTTTGGGTCAAATTGACGGAAACCGTCAATCTGGAATTGGACTGCGATTTTTTTGAAGGATTGGTGCCTACGGCGGTACAAATCAAAAGTTTGGGCCCTGCAAAAAGTGAAAGGTTTGGTAGCGCAATTGTAATTTTTCCTTAAAAGAATTACTAATTAGTATTGTTTACTCGTAAATCTTTAAAAAATTACTACTTATATCGAAAAAAATTAATTATTTTTATGATTAGCACTTAATTTAGCCCCTATTTGATAGTCATTATTTTTTTAAAAAAATTAAATAATAATTTTTTGAAAATACGTGTTTAAGAAATATGAAAAAGTTTGTGTAAACAAGGGCTTAAGCATACACTAAAGTTTGGTTGTGCTATATACATCACAACTTAAAAATTTGTTTATCATCAAATGATGTGTAGATATTTGATTGGATTAAAATCCCAACCATCTAAATAAAATAAAAATAAGATTTCCACTTTCTTCTGTACGTCGAATCAATCCCTGAAAAATTATGTAAAGGTGTAAAAAACAGAAAAAACCATTTCCCCACTTGAGCCTACGAACCCCACAGCCATTTTCTGTAGGAAAAGGCAAAAAAATCAAACGCTATTCTATCCAGTAATTATTTAATACTGCATTATTCTCTGCATTAATTTTGCCAAAAAATTCCTCAAGATCAACCTCTCAATTATGCAGTGAAATTTTTAATTAATTTGAAGTTCTGACTTTTCAGTAAAGAAACCCCCTTTTTGTATATGTGGAATCTCTGGCTGAATCAATGGTTCATATGCTTCGCCACATATCCATCCGCCATTAAAATATTGACATTGGGGTCTTTCTGCATTTTCGATATTTCTCAGACCCTCTTCTGCTCCTCTTGATTGTTTCAAGATTCAATCTTGAAAGTTCAAATTTTGAATAAAATTGCTCTCCGGTATGTCAATTTCGTTTTAATTTACTGCTCTCTCTGTTTGCGTGTTTTCAATTTGTGAATTATTTCTCACCGTGATCAAATTCAAATTTGAGTTTTTCTTGATTATCCTTTATTTAGGGTTTCTATTTCTTGTGTTTTCTGAACTAACTTTTAGGATAAATGTTTTGTTTAATTTCAGAATGTTGCTTTAATTTCACCTAATTTACGATTTTAAAACATGGGTTATGCTTGAAGTCCAAATCTTTCGCATTTTTCTTCGGGTTTGGTAGGGTTTTACTATCATTCATTGTACCAAAAATTGAGGTTTCTGATTGGGTTTAGATAGAAAGTTTCATATGGGGCATTGTCAAAATCAACTAATATTCTTATCTCACCAACAGATCCTGGCTGATACTCTTATATGTCTTATCTGTTTTTTTTTTACTAGGTCTTCTCTGAATTATATACTGCAAGGAATGAACACTTTTCGTTGATATAAGACTGCAAAATTTGTTTTCAGTCATCATTTTGTGAACCTTCTGGTTTAATTTGAATCAATTTTCTGTTGAAATGGACAATGGGGAGCTTGATCAAATATTATCATGTTTGGATACTGTAAATGCTCAAGCCAGTTGCTCATTTGACATAGACGAGTTTCTCAGTCGGACACAGGCCTGCAATGATTCTCTTGGTCGGACAGAGGCCTGTACTGATTCTATTGGCCGTACACAGGCTTGCACCCATGCCCATGCTTGCAAAACAGATGGTCCTGATAACTCCCACACACACACTTGTTACCATATCCACACCCAAGTTGTGCCTGCCCCTAGTGAAGCTCCATCCCCAAGTGATGATACTGCAGAGTCAGTAGAGAATAAATCTAAGAAACGCCCTGTAGGTAATCGTGAAGCCGTACGCAAGTATCGCGAGAAGAAGAAAGCTCGTGCTGCATCATTGGAGGATGAAGTTGTTAGACTGAGAGCTTTGAATCAGCAGCTAATGAAGAGGCTTCAAGGTCAAGCTCTGTTGGAGGCCGAGATTGCTAGGCTCAAGTGCTTGCTCGTGGACATTCGAGGAAGAATTGAAGGCGAAATTGGATCTTTCCCTTACCAGAAGCCCCCTAAGAGTGGTGATGTCTATCAATACCTTGTAAATTCTAGTCCTGGTACCTATGTGATGAATCCATGTAATACGCAGCACAACGATCAGCTTCATTGCCTTCATCCGGGATTAGAAAGTGCTGCATTAAATGGTCAAAGCCTCAGTGACTGTGGATTTGACACACTGCAATGTTTGGGGAATCAAAATTCTGGTCTTAAGGCTCCTCCTGGTTGTGATATTGGCAGTGGTAATGGTGTGTCTACTGGAAATACATCCAGAGGGAATAGGAGAAAAGGTGAATTTTATTGTTCTAATTATATTAGTTTTTCATATTACCATACGAAGGATGCATGGCTATTAAACCTGACATTGTTAGAAAACGATATATTGATTTCTTAATGGCTTTGCTAATTTTTGGGCAGTGTATTTTTCTTGTTGCTTAACTTGTCTTTGGTAAGATGAGAGAGGGGGGAGGGTACTGTTTTCGCCATCTTAATACTAGTTGCCTTGTTTATATTGTTGTTATATGAGGTATTTGATATTTCTAGAATTATGTCATATGGATTGGATGGATGTTATTTATGCCAAAATATTCTAACATGATCAAGTGCCCATTGAGTCAGGTGGCTCACGACTTTGCTGTAGTGTGACCTGTATTCCTGGCTTTTGTTGTCTGTTCTTTCATTTTGTGTGACTTGATTATTTCCATTGTGTCCCAGTTTGCCTCTCTGTCCAACCAGAAAGGAATGTAGAGTAAGCCCCTGTTATTTGAAATTATAATATTTGTAATAGTAATTTTCTGAAGAATGTGTGATTAAAAAAGAAGGAAGAGTTTTAGATTTACTTGTAATATTATTTTATTGGAAAATGTGTGGTTGATAAGAAGATGGAGAAAAATGAATTATAATTTAATGGGGGCCAAACAGGGACTAAGATTGTTTTGACTTATCTTTTTAGTGGATCAACTATATACATTTGATAGTATTTAATCTGTTATAACCTTGAGGGGTTGCTCAATTGGTCAGACTTTGGGTTTGCTCCCCAATGGTCACCAGGTCGAGTCCCCTCAGGGCCACTGAGGTGAGTACCCGGCCGTAAATTTCAGGGCCTCGTGGAATTAGTCGAGGTGCGCACAAGCTGGCCCGGACTTTCACGGTTATAAAAAAAAAAAAAGTATTTAATCTGTTCCAATGGGAGGAAACCGAATGGAATCAAATAATGGTTTCCAGTTTATTGGTTTGTTTCTAATACCAATATTTTCTAGTGATTTGACATCATGGTGACTTGGGAATCTGATCGTCATTGGTTAAGTTCAAATAGAAACCTGAACTTTTAGATTTTTGCAATATGTTCCCAATACTTGTAATAACACTGCAACTTATCTGCCTTAGTGTACAGTATTACTGCATCTGCTTTTCTCCTTACTGATGGATATGTTATTGAATTTCATCTCCAATATAATGAACCAAGTACGATTGTCAAGATTTTTTTGATTGGCAACCTTAGATATTATGACTTGTGATCTTTGTTTCTTATAACTCATCAGGAGGGGCGCGTGTGGCAACAGCTAGTTGAAGAACTATTCTGATGGAGGCATCATAATTTCGAGGAAAAGCTTTATCAATTTCTTTTGCTTCTTCCCATTGTTGAGATTAGAACTAGCATATCTTTTTCGTGAAGGTGAAATTTACTTTGTAGTTGTGGTTCTAGTAAGCCCAGGAATATCGGGGTTTTATTTTCTTTTTGGCTTATGACGGAATGTAAAGCGAGGGACTTTAATGGAGCAAAGCTAGTAGTACTTATGAAGACTGACGAGGATACTGAGACTTCTTCAGCACCCTACTATTCCTACAATAAAACGAAATATTTCTTTTCATCATTTTTTGTACTTTGGTTTTTCTCTGTTTTGAGATTTTCTTGATATATATTCCCCTCGAAGAATATATGGGTGATAAATCAATGAGATTGAAGATCCTTTTTGAGTCATGTAAGTTTAATTTTGGCATATCTTCTGTTGTATTACAAGCATCCTATCCTTGAGGAATACTTGCATTGCAAATGTTTTAAAATTGTGAGCATGGAAAAAATTAAACATAACTGTAGAGTAATGTTTAGGGAGTAATTGCCATGCGTGTGAAGTAAGAAAATGTATTGATATATTCCTGTCTAATATCATATGAATATGAGTAATGCTGTGTAGTTCTACGGGAGTTGTAACTCCAGTCTAAATAACATTAGATGATAGACTAAATGAATGATGAAATGAAATGATTTATTTAATTTCATCTATCATTTAATATCACATTAAGGTAACCTAAATTGTGATTGTAACCTTTACAAGTCACATCTACTTGACAACATCATTTCTCAAGGATGTAAATCATTTGACCTATTCTAAGAATAAATGTCATGAATCAGTATCAGACATATCAAAACGAGCTAAGTAGGCATAAAAACTCAGCTCTCAAGAATAGCGATCATTTACAAATATTTCCTACACTTAGAGTGAAGGATGGATAAAACTACCACCAATCAACATGTTGGGGTGACGATCATTATGTTTAGTTAATATAGAACATTCATTTTTTATTTATTTGCTTATTTCGAGGCAGTCATTGTATTCATTAATTACATTTTGGTTTATCAAGTAAAAACATAAATAGTGTTTTACTTAGTAATTTTTTTTAAAAATATTTCGAAGTCTACTAGGCTTGATATAAAAGGAGTGCGTTTCTCTAGACCGTTTAATACGTTGCTTGCACGAATATATCTGGAAATTAATTACTAAGAAAGAAATATGCACACATTACGAGTTCCTATAAAAAAGTCAATTAATGCTATAATTTAACAGAGTTTTAGAATTACGCTCCTTGCACACTCCTTGTGTACATGGAGTTTAAGACTCCTTTGCAAACTCAAAAATGCAGTAGCGAAAAAGTGTGTTGTATTTTCAAACTGACCAATTGTACTGCAACATGTAGCACAATGTCAAATTTGATGTAAAAAACAATGTACTAGTAGCATGATTGTTGTTGTGTTATATGACAACAATCTCCAGATTCCGACGAAGGAATAACAAACCTTTGCATCAACCTGTTACTCATAACACATTGAATGACAAAACAAAAGAACCCAAAAGAAATTTTGTGGTGTTCAATTTTTTTTTTTCATAGAAGTCAATAGTCTTAAGTGCATGTGTGCAAGGTCATCGCCATTTTGTAGGGATTCCATCTCACACTATAACTTTCTTGAAACAAGAAACATTACATACAATCAGCACTTGGGATATCATCCTCGTCACGATAAATACTCTCGGACATTTGCCAGACCTGTAAAGTGTTGTCCTCCGCTACACTTGAAATAACCCATGGCTCATTCTCGTTCCATGAAAAGTCAGAAATCTTTGCTTTGTGACCACCATGAGAGAAGAGGAGCTCCGAAGGACCATCTTCAGCTTCACCTTCCAACTGTTCGTCTCCAACCCTGAAAAACGATGTGTTCAAATTTGACTGTCGACACTTCGTGAGTGGGAATAAGAAAACTTATCTGATAAATTTAAAATTGAAGGCAGGGACCTCATCCCAACCCTCAAAAGAAAAAGAGAAAGATCCTCAAGGCAGCAATCGTGTATGTTAGAGATTCCCGGCACACAAAAATAAGGTCAATAGCGGAAGGATCAAAACTATGTTATTCACTTCCAAATCCATGATCCTTTATCCTTCACAAGAATTCAATCCCACTGTTCACAAATAATTTCCACAACAATTGGATGGAACTTGAGGCAATGATGAGAGCACAAGTACCTGTTAAGGTCCCAAACCATCAACCTTCTGTCATCTGCGGAAGATGCCAGCACAGTTTCATGGTTAGGATCCCACTCTACCTGGAATACCTCCTCCCTGTGTAAAATAGAGTAACAGAGGTCAGTTAACAATACATTTCATATTTTCCACCCTACCATTCTACGAAAAGCAGAGCACTTATTGGTTCATTAACCCTAACTTCCAATAAAGTCGGGGTAGCCTGCATATTTTTTGCCACTCTGATAATAAAAGTGAAGTGCCGTGTAAAATCAATATTCTGATCTGCGTGCCCTACAATTTTATTGACATAATTCCGCTTTTTAATTGGAAAACCCACATAAAACAACTAATTTGGAAAAAATTTAGGCCCAAAATATGAATATAGCTGCGTCTCGTCAAGGATCAAAAGTTCCAACACATATCAGTAGGCTCGTATTCATTGGTCAACCATCCCAATTGCGTGCCATTAAGAAAGCTAGAGCAGGATGATGGTTAAAAGGAAAACAGCACCTAGGCGAGAACACAGCAAACTCTCTTTGTCTCCCCTAAAAAGTTGTAAATGATTTCCTTTTCCCATCCAGTCCACATTCATAACTACTACCCATTTATTCCACACATTTCGTGGGACCCACTACTATTCCTCCTAAAAGGTTACTAATAATTTTAGATGAAGAGAACAATATATGTCCCCAGGTGAGTGAGTCCAGGAGATACATCATTAACTTCCTAGAAAGTAGACTTAAGAGGTTCAATCCAAGTCAAAAGACATACATATGACTACTAAGAGCGTGGAACGGCGAACTTAGATTGCGCATATCGAACAGACCAATGGTGGTATCAGAGGATGCTGTAGCCAGAACCCACTCATTGAATGGATTGAATGATAAATAGTTCACCTGAAAATAGAAAGAAAAATGTCATGGCTAATTAAGCTTAAGAATAGTTTATAAAGACTATGAACATGAAAACAGCATGGAATGCATCATTGATAAAGACTATTTGTCAATATAATAACAAGCCATACTATGTAAACTGGCATTGTTGTGTCCAATCTCACTTATATCTTCAATTTTCAAATTTAGATGAGCTGAGCTCAATCAGAGTACAAACTTTCATGAACTAATCCATAATAACCCGTTCTCATCTCAGCTTAGTTACCTCAAACGTTGTAATGAAAACTCACAGAAATTATAAACTGGATTCTCTAAGTTATTGTATAGGACTTTCAATTTCTTTTGTTCACCCTCTCACTCACTCCACCATTGCAACGTCCTTACAAGTAAAAACAAATTTGCCAATGGAGAAACAAGATGGACTAACATGTTGAGTTTTGATTCCTTTGTCTTGTATTCATTCAGTCAATTCACCATTCTAGGTAAATGCAACAACAAATTTGCCAATATCAAAGTGGAGGGAAAAAAATGTTGGACATGAGTAGGACTTCATATAATCTAGTAACTATTGTGAGTCAGAATTGATGGATTCAAGAATCACCAGATAAATTGAAAATGAAGTTTCTCTGAGCTATAACTTCATGCATATTAAGAAAAGATAATGCTGTAAGAATCCAAAATATTGAGAAATTCAAAGGAAAAAGAAAATGCAAGTCACTTCAATACCTCTTTCTCGTGCACAACAACAGAATGCTGGGGCATTTTTGTGCGCAAGTCCCAAATCATTAGCTTGCAATCATCTCCCACAGAACCAAATAAATTTTCATTTTTCAAATGCCATGACACATCCTCAACCACACTTTCATGTCCCTGAAGCAACAGTCAAAAAAACCAGAAAATTAACAACCAAATTTACAGCCTAAAATACAAGCTTTCAATATCATAAGAATTGTCTCAAAGACAAAATAACCAAATTCAACACAAGGGGGCAAGGAGACAAAAAGATCAGTGACAACCCCGTAGACATTGTTTGCTTCAAGGATTTTGTCTTGAGGCATTGCAGTGACATCCCACAAGCAAATTTTGCAATCATTTGAACCACTCAAAAGATATCCTTGTTTGAATGGACTCCACGACAGCCCGTATCCTTCTTTATCATGACCCCTCAATCTCAAGTCAGGATCGCAATTACCCCTGCCAGCATTCACCAGCTGCTTGGTACAGTCAAATACATAGACTTCAGAACCACTAGTCTTAGCAGCAACCAAAGCTTGGTTTTGTGGCATACACCGAGCTCTATTCACTTCCCCATCAACACGTATTTTCTGAACAATTTCTACCTGCATTTACATAATATATAGTAAGATAAAATGCTCTTTAGGCAGAAACTGATACATATAATGCATGTTAAATCTTAATTACATATTTATAGGTAGCAAATTGAGCCCTACACTTTTTAAAACCAAATGATAAGAAAGTGTAGCCGAGCTAAAGGATGATAAGAGATGTGATGTTCTTCCCAATAAATGAGAATATTTATCAACGAAAACATAAGATTTAACCAACTAAAATATAGGCCCCGGCAAGAAAATATGATCCTATACCACATAACCTAAACCAACTCACCAAGAGGAGAGCCTCAATCATATGTAAACGAACACATCAACAAGATAAAATGGCCCAAATACAGTGGACCACCGGATAGGCTGGGCATTGAATCAAACATAAGATGCATATATATAAAGCTCAGCATATTAAAGTCATAACCGTTAATTAATAAGTGATTGAAATTTCTCATCATTAGAAGCTCGTCATATTTGCCGCTAACCCATAACCATAAGAAAACCTTGACAAAAAAGAAACGCCATTTCATTCGGTAATTTCATCAAACACTTCATGCAGATACGAGTAAGCCCCATAAAAAATACCATACGCACTAATACAAATGAATATAGAGTGATGAGTGTGTTGAAGAAAACAATTTCTGACCCTAGGAGTGTTGGAATTGTCGGGTTCCATTTCAATGGTACCGCGGGGGACGTGGGCGTGGGCAACCATGAGGAAATTCGGAAATTCATCGGAGGTATGGGTCCCCAGTATCAATTTGTGTACAGCGAGTGGGCCATTATCGGATGGGGGCGATGGGAGCCATTGGACGGTGAGAGATGGCCACTCGAGCGCATGGCAGATGACAAGGTCGTACAGTAATGGCGTGTTCTTCTTCCACACGGAAAACTCCTCCTCTACCATTTCTTCGACACCTCCCTCAGCCATTTTGCTCTTTCTCGATTTCTCAGTGTAACGTGCAGAGTCAGTCGGCTGGAGATGCTTATATGGGGGTTCGTGTTCGCGCCAAAATAATGGAACGCGAGGGAACAACGGGGAGATGAATCGAAGAAGAGTTGATGGGCTGGGCCGAATGAAAGTTGTATGGATCAATTCAGGAGTTTAGACTTAGCCCAGTTTGGTTGAGATTTTTGCACGGGAAAAAATCGTATATGCCCTATTATTAAAAAATAATTTACATTTTACTATGCAACGGAAATCGTATAACTATAAGTACTAACATATATGTAAATTATTTTAAATAATACTAACTTCTAAATATATATATATATATATATCCCAAACTACATTTGTAACTGACAATTTTGAATTAAACATACTTTACTCTCGGCATTAAATGAGTATTCCAATTTCAGTGATGAATTCTTAGTACGATGACGAATTGTGATGAAGATTTCAAATGACTTAATAATTCAAACAAAGGGTATGGGAATTCAGAGATTGAGATGCACACAAGATGAACAACCAAAAGCAAAGCATTTTCAGAGGCAAGAAAAAAAAGTTACATTACAAAAATCGACACGGTGAATCATGTCAATCCAAAGGAAAATGAATACAAGTTATATTAGTCCAAATATCTTTTATCTAAAATGAATGTTGTTATGCATAAAAATAGTTCAGATTTGCATCCTAGGGCTAAACAACCATAAAATTCAGTATCTAGGAAATGCAATTTAACATGATTATATGTTCACATTCCACGGTGGTCATCTTAAATAATACAGAAAGCTATGCACAAGAGATAGTAATGGTCAATAGGATCCATAGAAGAAATCAAGAAATGCCTCAAAAATCTTTCTCCAAAGACTTAGCGGTAGGTGAATGCTGGGCCTTTCTGTAGTCTAAATTACATGAATGTTATCTTAGAAATATTACGGTCCCATCACTCAAACATCATCATCAATTTGTTATGAAGTCCCCAAGATCAAATCTTGGGTATCATCAAAACAAACCAGTTAAACAACAATTGAGTAACAGTAATAGCATAATGCTCACAACAATATCTGCTAGAATTCAACCTCCGATTAGGGTTTTATATAGATGATAAAGTTCAAATCAACGCAAAAAATATCAAGAAAATGATTTTGTGGAATAATGCTACGGATTAAGGTGGTTGATATCTGAATAAGATCAAAATTTAGTATGGTTTTGAGATGCTTTCTCGTTTGAGAGCATCTGGGTGGAAAGTGAAAAGGCACAAATTTAGGCTTGTTTGGTGGGAGCCTGTATGAATTGGGATGCTTTCACCTTTATTATTTTACTTTAATAATATAGTATTTGTGATGAAAAAAAAGTTGTGAAGTAATATTGGAATATTAATCAAGTAATAGTTAGGAGGCGTAATTTCCACTTTTTTTTTTTTTGCACAAGTGAAAGTCAATAATTAATTTTAATCAAATATTTTATGGAATTTACAATTTTTCAACCGCACATTTCATCAATTATTATCAAAACCTACTAAAAATCTGATTTTAATCTCCACCAAGCAGGAGCTTAGAATTGAGAAAGAATAATATAATTTTTTGTGTAACTAAAATCTTTATGTTCACTTACGAAGTTATAAAAACTAGGCACATTAGCAACTAAAATGTTTAGTTATAAAATAAATGCCGAATTTAACTAACATCATTTTGGTCTTTAGCCGATGCACTTTAGCGTTAATAGATCATCCATTTGCCGAATGAAGGTTACAGCTTGATAGAGAATTCGGGATGACACACAAAAGTGGATACTCAAGTTTCGAACTCAAAATACGACAAAAAATAGTTCCAGAGTCCGCCCATCCAACTTGTCATTCAAGTCGAGCCTTAAACACCATATGTGACAATAATTATCGATCGAGGAAAATCTTCGTCCAAGACAAAGCCAGGTTGTCCGAAGGACAGGCCTCTTGATTAATTCTCTAATTTGTTCATTAGCAATTGACTAAAAATTAGAGCTAATCTCTTTATCAAAATTATTCTCAAGTTTGTTCTCTACGTGCGTGGCTGGATTAGTTCTATGTCAACTCTCCTTAATTAATTTCGGACAACCCTCTTGATTAATTCTCTAATTTGTTCATTAGCAATTGACTAAAAATTAGAGCTAATCTCTTTATCAAAATTATTCTCAAGTTTGTTCTCTACGTGCGTGGCTGGATTAGTTCTATGTCAACTCTCCTTAATTAAACAAAACTCATGTGAACAAGGATTTCCTGTCACCCCCGGTTTGTGTCCATTGTTTTCCAAAAAAACCAAGGAAATAATGTTATGTATTGACTTATTTGTTAATTTTACCTAATTATTCCTCCAACAACCAGATTTGTTTGACTTATAAAGTCCAATTTGGAGAGCTTCTCTATTTACTGCACCTATATAAGTGTGATTGAAACGTGCATCAAGAGAATTAAGATAAAAGCATTCTTTTATAAACACATTGCTCACTTGGTCATGGATTCGAATATGATGGAAGAGTTTATTCTGGGATTTTTCATCGCTTCTCTTTTCGGGTTTATCGTGTTATACAGATTGCTTTCAAAGAGGCCACAAAGAGCTTCCATTGAGGAGCAGAACGGTCCAAGTGTACAGAAAAGTTCTGAACAGTCTGTATCCCAGAAAGATGGAGGACCGGATGTTGTTGTTGTTGGAGCTGGTGTAGCCGGTTCTTCATTGGCTTACTCTCTGGCCAAGGTATCATGAAGAATTCTCTTTTATGTAATATGTATAACTCGACTAGTGTCCTGTTGCCATTTGACGCTTTCATATCCATGTTCTGATGTTCATGTGTTATGTATGCATATGTAGTCTACTTTCACATTTGACATGTACTCATTTATATCCAATCATAGGATGGGCGTCGAGTACAAGTGATTGAGAGGGACTTAACCCAACCTGATAGAATTGTTGGTGAGTTGCTACAACCAGGAGGCTACCTCAAATTAGTTGAGTTGGGAATGGAGGGTGAGTCCTAAATTTTGATGCATCAATCTAAATTCTTTTGGATCTTCATTTAAACGCCAACTTTGACTTGCAAACGAATATATATTGTGACAGATTGTGTAATTGGGATTGATTCTCAGCAAGTGTATGGTTATGCACTTTACAAAGAAGGGAAATATGCTAGACTGTCCTATCCTTTGGAAGAATTCAATTCAGATGTTTCGGGCAGAAGCTTTCATCATGGGAGATTCATCCAAAGGCTACGCGAGAAGGCTGCATCTCTTCCCAAGTATGGTTTTAAGTGACAGAAAGTCCATTTCAAAAGACAATCGCAGACAAAATTTTGAATCATTACACTACTTCAAGCTAAGATTCTAATTCTTAATTTCTTTTGCAGTGTCAAAATGGAACAAGGAACTGTAACATCTTTGGTTGAAGAAAATGGTACTGTTGTAGGAGTTAAATACAAGAGTAAAGATGGTCAAGAAAATACAGCAAAGGCCCCACTAACAATTGTGTGTGACGGTTGCTTTTCAAACTTGAGGCGCAATCTGTGCGTACCTCAGGTAATTAAGACCAAAAACTAACTTTTTCAACTTTTTTTACTTCAAAATTATATTCAACACATGGAATTATGTTTCCTGCACTAAATGAGATGGCTTTTTTCAATATTTGGCAGGTCGATATCATGTCCCATTTTGTTGGTATGGTCGTGGTCTTGGAGAACAGCCGGCTTCCACATCCTAATCATGGACACGTTATATTGGCCAACCCTTCGCCTATTTTGTTCTATCCTATCAGTAGCACTGAAGTACGCTGTTTGGTTGATATTCCCGGTCAAAAATTACCTTCAATTTCTAATGGAGACATGACAAATTATTTGAAAACCAAGGTTGCTGATCAGGTACTAAAATCTAAAATCCTTAGAATAGGAAATGGTTAGGAATCATTCAATTTACTGAAAGGTATTCTTATACTTTTGATTATCAGCTGCCGCCTGAACTTCGGGATGCATTCATCAAGACAGTCGAGAAAGGAGACATAAGAACAATGCCAAACAGAAGTATGCCGGCAGCTCCAGTTCCTACTCCAGGTGCAATTTTGCTGGGAGATGCATTCAATATGCGACACCCTTTGACCGGAGGAGGAATGACAGTAGCTCTATCTGATGTGGTAGTCCTTCGTGATCTACTTCGACCTGTACAAGATTTCGACAATGCAGCAGCCCTCACCAAACATCTTGAATCCTTTTACACTCTTCGCAAGGTTAGCCTCCTTTCTGCATTCATTTTATAAGAGATTGGGCTTCTCCAATTTAGTTAAAGATAATGAAACCCGAGATATTTTTGGTTTGCAGCCAGTGGCTTCTACAATAAATACATTAGCAGGTGCCCTATACAAAGTATTCTGTCCTGCACCAGATCAAGCAAGCAGGGAAATGCGAGAGGCGTGTTTTGATTATTTAAGCCTTGGAGGCATTTATTCACAAGGACCAATTGCACTCCTATCTGGCTTAAACCCAAAGCCTATGAGCTTGGTTGCTCACTTCTTTGCCGTGGCTATCTATGGTGTAGGCCGTTTGCTGCTACCATTTCCTTCGCCCAAGCGAGTGTTGCTTGGAGCTAGATTGCTCTCGGTGGGTAACGCTTTTTATACACACTTGTGTTTTCTACTAAATAGTATAACGTTTCTTGTAATCAGATATGCGTGGTCATTTTCTTATTACGATTAAAAGGGAGTATAATTTCTTGGTGCAGAGTGCATATGGCATCATCTTTCCCATTGTAAAGTCGGAAGGAGTACGTCAAATGTTTTTCCCCATTACCATTCCGTCCTACAACAGGGGGGCTACAGTTGTAATGAAGAGTGCAATGTTCGACATGCTTGGATAGAACTTTTGCTGCCAAAAATCGAGGCTGTATCTGCAGCAATAATTCTAGCAGAAGATTTTGTTATATAATTTCCTTGTTCAGATTTCAATTTTATGTTATGAAAAGAAATCAAAAGCAAACAAAAACAAAAACAAGCCTCCAAGGAGAAGTATCTTCCAGGAAGAAATTGATTCCTTGTTTTGTACTGTATATTTCTTCAAATATAGAAGTTATTAACATTCTTGTTTCATTTTGAAAGTGTAAGGTTTGATGCCACAAGAATCAACGAAAGCAGTAAGCATATTCACTAAGAATAAACCAAGATTTAACCACACCAAGTAGTATATGAATTTACAGGGCTCAGATTTTACACAAAGACATTGTACCCGTCTATACAAAAGGAACAAGTCACAAAAACCACTAACCCTAACCCAGACCGCACGGAGCAGCTACTACAATGGTTCGAAGACTCTACAGCCAATCTAACATCTCTAACACCTCAATCAAGCAATCACCAAGACTAGAATCACAAAGATAATCAATATCACAAAGAATCGAAAGAGAGGACAGAGAGAACACAAAAAACAGAAAACCCAGAAGCTTTCTCGCACTAAGCAAACAGAACAAAATGAAAAACCTCACGTAAATGGGCATCCAACGTCTTCTATATATTGGCGACCACACCACCGTAGATTAGGCTGAAGATCCAACGGACCAGAGCAACACACTTGGCATTTAAGTTGGGCTGGGTCTTGGGCCTTTTTCCTTTTGAGTTATTGGGCAATGGTTCCTTCAAAAAAACATTTCAATAGCTTTTGGGCTTATCCCATTTTTCATCATTGCCCCTAAGTTGAATATAAATGACAAAATTAGCATCAATATTCAACAATCTCCCCCTTGATGCCAATGTCACCAAACACATTAGTACTTATTAACACCAACACAAAGGAGATAATCACCTGCAGGAACATGAAGTTACCCAGTAACAATTCTTAAAATTTTTAAACATGATTTAAACTTGGAAAGATGTAATACCTTTGTTCCTATATCCGCGAGATTGAATTGTGTAGGGATTTTCTCAAGCAAAATAGATTCACACAATAAGCCTTTAAGTTACAAAGACTCTTTTATAGTTTCAGTAGTAGATAAGACAATAACAGACTACAATTGAGATTTCCAACTAATGCAAGTATCACACAAAGTAAACACATATGCAGTTATAGATTTCCTATTGTCCTTATTACTTGCATAATCAGAATCTGCATACCCTTTCAACACAACACCCTCTTTACAAAATTTAAAATGCAATTCTAAGTCTGCAGAATCTTTCAAGTATATTAAAAGTCATTTTAATGTGATCCAATGCAGCATATCATCCACATACAAAAGTAGATAAACAATCACATCATTCTCATCATTTCTTTTGAAATAAGGACAATGATCAAAGGCACTTTGCACAAAGTCAATAGAAGATACATAATTGTCAAATCTAATATACAGTTGCCTAGGCGATTGTTTCAAACGATACAAAGATCGATTAAGCAAACAAACAAGATTAAGCTTTTTAGAATCAATAAAACTTTGAGGTTGAATCATATAAATCGTTTCATCCAAGTCACCATACAAGAAGGCAGTTATAACATCCATTTGTTCTAACTCTAAAACATATTGAGCAACCAAAACAAGCATGACTCTTATAGTAGTATATTTCACAACAGATGAGAAAGTATCATAACAATCAATACCAGGTTTCTGAGTATACCCCTTTGCAACAAGTCTAACCTTAAACCTATGAGGCTCTTTAGAAGAACTACCCTCCTTAATACTATAAACCCACTTACAGTCCACCAAGGACTTATCCTTAGGTCTGGGAACTAATCTCCAAGTATTATCCTTCGCAAGGGACTTCATCTCTTCTTCCATAGCACCTAGCCACTCATTAGATTGTCGACAACTCAAAACCTCCTCATAAGATTTAGACTCCTTATAAACTAAGTCTTGATAAGACAAAACAACAAAGGATTGATAATCACCCATTCTCACGGGTTCCCTAATCTTCCTCATAGCTCTATCACGAGCAAGTTGATAATCACTTAAAAGATCAACCACATCACCTACTAAGTCATGTTCACCACCTTCAACAAGTTCATGAAAACCAGTGACACCATCATTCTCCCCCTCAACCTCATTCTTAACTTGTTCCTCCTCAACTAGTCTAGGAGAATGATCCAAACTCACTTGCATTCTAAGTCTCCTCATTCTTATCACTCTTAGGATCATCACTAGAGACTCTCTTACTCAAACAAGGCATATTACCTTCATTAAAGGTCACACTCTTACCAAATGCCCCTCTCTTACTCAAAATATGCAAGCCCTTTCTACTCGCATGAGCTAGCCTATTATGCCACTTCAGGGTAGCATCAATCTCAGTACTAGAGGACTCAGCAATGTGACTCTGAACTACACTGGCTCTAGTGACATATATACCATTCCTCTTGATACCTTTGAAAATAACTAAGGAACCCTTAATTAATACTATTACCAATTCGGCCTGCTATGTCATCTAGATTACCCATAGAAATCAAGTTCCTATCCAAATCGAGAATATACCTTACTCTTTCTAAAGTAAAGGTACATCCATTGTCAAAATTCAAAGTTACACTGCCAATTCCTTTAATGCTACAAGCTACATTGTTACCCATAACTACCTCTCCACCATTAAGATCCTTAAAGTTCTCTAACCAAGGTCTTCTAGAAGTCATATGGAATGTACACCCTGAATCCATAATCTACTCACTATCCTAACCACGTCATCCACATAGTTAACAGTATTCACATAGGAGTGGGTTCTGTCACCACGTACACATCAACAGTCCTCTCATCTAGAGGTTCAACAACATTCCCCTCATCCACTCTCATCTCTCTCTGTTCATTCTTCTTCTTATAACAGTCTTTTATAAAATGTCTCTCCACATCCATAGCACTTCCTAATTCCACTCCTAGATTTAGATCTAGATCTCCATTTCCCCTTCTTCTCAGAATTGTTATGATTTCTCCCTTGATGATTTTGACCATTTACTTACCTAGCCATAGGTCTACCTTTCACAAACAAACTCTCAAACTCCTTCCCAGTTCTATCAACCTTAAGATCTAATTTTTTACTTCTTAAAGAATTAATCACAATCTCAGGAATTAAGGTATCTCTGTCATACTTAATAGCAGACTTAACATCCTTATACTCATCAGGTATAGCATTCAAAAGGATAACAACTTTGTATTCATCAGAAACTTTATCCCCAGCATTAATGATATCTTGAATTAACTTATTAAAAGTATCAAGATTATCATCCAAATCCTTAGACATATCAATCTTAAAGCTAAAGAACCTCTTTAAAAGGAAGAGTTTATTAGACAGACTCTTAGACATGTATTGCTCTTCTAACTTCTCCCACAAAGCCTTAGCATTATCAAGTTTACCAATTTTCCTCAACACTTGAACAGACAAATGAAGAATTATAGAAGTATAAGCAAGTTCATCAAATTCAAATTTTTGATCATCAGTCATAGTAATAGGAAATTTACCAGTTATAGCCTTAGCCACTTTCTGTTGAACTAAGACCCCTCTCATTTTTTGCTGCCAAATGGGGAAATCCCATTTTCCATTAAAAACTGCATGTTCAAATGTTGCCATTACCATTTGAAGTTTTTAATCAACACAAATTTTTTTTAAGGTCACAGTTCTACAGAAAAGAAAACAGGAAACAGATATTTCAAGCAACCAATTTAAACGTCACACAACTCACAGTGTAAACAAATCAGGAATGAAAACGTCATACTGAAAACAGATTATCAACCAGTGAAAAACAAATTAACAGTGATGATAAGCAGTTTAATAGACTCAGTGAACCAAACAGAAGATTAACAATGAGATTAAACAGGCCAACAATCACAGGGATTCACAAAGAATAATGCTACTGTATATCAAACCGATTAATATCTAATGATCTAAAAAACTACAGGTATTAGGATTCACCAGGATTCTATGAGGCTTAAGGCCTCAGGTCAAGGCTTAATCCTAACACCAGGGAACACAATACACTGGGGAAATCAGGGAGAATTCTCAGCATTCAAGATATAGTAATAACATAATCAAGAAACATAAGAAATCAGGGGGTTATGAAGGCTCACTATGCTGGTTCAAAGAACTAGCATCATGAAGAATCAATTCAAGACTCTGCAGGCACCTAGCTAGCAGTCCAATCACCTAATCAGTTAACTAAGAACAGGTTCCTCGCAAGAAACACAAACAGAGAAAGAATTAGTGGTCGAATCAGAAATGGAATAATAAAAAAATTAGGGTTAGGGTTTCTACAATTTCCGATCGATCTTAGGGTATCATCTGGAAATTAATTTCCCAGTGATAAAACCATCAATCGAAGACTCTAGAACGACTTATACACGCTCTGATACCACTTGTAAGATTTGATGCCACAAGAATCAACGGAAGCAGTAAACATATTCACTAAGAATAAACCAAGATTTAACCACTCCAAGTAGTATATGAATTTATAGGGCTCAGATTTTACACAAAGACATTGTACCCGTTTGTACAAAATGAACAAGCCACAAAAACCACTAACCCTAACCCAAACTACACAGAGCAGCTACTACAATGGTTCGAAGACTCTACAGCCAATCTGACATCTCTAACACCTCAATCGAGTAATCACCAAGACCAGAATCACAAAGATAATCAATATCACAAAGAATCGAAAGAGAGGACAGAGAGAACACGAAAAACAGAAAACCCGGAAGCTTTCTTGTACTAAGCAAACAGAACAGAATGAAAAACCTCACGTAAATGGCTATCCAATTTCTTCTATATATAGGCGACCACACCATCGTAGACTAGGTTGAAGATCCAATGGACCAGAGCAACACACTTGGCATTTAAGTCGGGCTGGGTCTTGGGCATTTTTCCTTTTGAGTTATTAGGCAATGGTTCCTTCAAAAAGCATTTC